GGGGAGTTGTGAGGTGGCAGGGCACATGGCATGGAGGGAGGCAGGGAGCAGGGCTGAAGAAAGGTGTTGTGCCTGTGAAAGGATTGTATGTCACCCTGTACGATCTGCTGTATTATGTACAACATTTCCACACTGCATACAAGGGGAAGGTGACAAAAACATTGGGAGGACACTGTCCATATCTACACACATCAAGACAAAAGATATTCCCCTCATCTCCACTGCTAACTATTCTGGCTCCTTTGTTTCAATGTTAGCTAGTAGACTCGAATTCAGGCTTGTATTACAATGTGGGCTCTATCCTGTCTCCTAGATGGTACACTCAAATACAAGGCAACACTTGGTTACAGGCTCTCGGATATGTGGCCATAATACATGTATGTACTGTAAAGTTCAGAAGACCCATGCGGAGTATCTGATTGGACATTTATATCGCTTCCAGCACCAGCAATGTTATAGATTTGAATACATGTACAAAGGGGGGAATCATAGCAATTGCCAGTGTTTGAACTTGCGCAGAATATATTCGACGTACTTTGCGCCAGATTTATGTTGCTAGTGTAATGTTCATAAATGAGATTAAGAAAACTCCTAAATCCTGGCAAAAAGCTTAACTGTCGCTTCATGAAGACTACATGGGGACTTCTTAAGTAGCGATTGTTTTGTTGAGGTGATGCTCTGGTTTCAGGCAGTGCAGATGTAAACAGTTGCGAACTTTCGCAAAACAGGCGCAATTGGGAAAATAATGCAGGCCGTGGTCAAAACAGGCGCACATGTTAAAAGGAGCGGCTGAACAGATGTGCACATAAAAAAAAAATGATCAAAGAGGCTAAAACTTTTGCAATTGCTTTGATAAGTTCCCCCCAAAGTGTTCTTTGCAATATGTTGGTTGTGCCATTGTGCCCATTAAGGGTGTGAATTGGGCTCACCATTGTGATGCAATAAATCCTAATGCGCTATGCCCCTTGAATGTATCTAAACATCTGCGTGATGTTCATTGGGGTAGTATGACAGTCTTTACTATCCATGGTGTAGAAAGGGTTATTGCAAATGAGAGAGATGGTGTCACATATCGTAGACTCTTGGACAGCGGCGGGACAAGGGAACCCATGGCCTCAGCCAGCGGTATATATATATATATATAGATATAGATATAGATATATATAGATATAGATATAGATATAGATATAGATATATATAGATAGATAGATAGAGAGATCTATATATATATAATATCCTTTATATTTGAAGTGGTTTGCGTTTGGGGTCCACTGGTATATTTAGGTGTTTCCCTTGTAGGGCCAGTGAAGTACAGTAATGCCATTTACTTTATATTTGTCATGTTCTAGGTCTGGCTCATTACTTTACATAAGCATATGTTACTCTATTGTTAAATTTTTGCTTCTATGCATATTCACTAAAGTTTTGATGTTTTGTATGCTGTAGGATTTTAAGTAGGGATGCTCCAATCTGTTTCTTTGGTATGGAGTACAGATATTTTGCTTTCGGTACTCGCCGATACTGGTGCTTCCGCTGGCATGGAGCGGCTTCCCGGGCAATCGGGAAGGTACTGACATGCCACCTGGCTTCCTGATTGCCCGGGAAGTTGTCTCCATAGGAAGCTCAGCGGCGAGTATTAACCTGGCTTTCTGATTGGCCGGGAAGCCGCATGTTCGGCCAGTTCAATGTTGATTGGCCGGGAAGCCGGCTTCCGAGCCAATCGGCAAGAAGTCGGCTGTCATTACTCACCACCCGGCTTCCTGGTTCCCGGGGAAGCTGACTCCATGTACCGCTACGGCACTGCAAGTTAGAGGAAATCTTCCTCTGACCGGAAGTTCCGTTATCGGTGATCAACGTGGCACAGGGTATCATTTATTGATTCATCACGGTGTGAATGGACCCCATGTGTTTAACCCTCTGTATTCCAACTGGTCTGTGCACCTTCATTGTAAATGCTGATCTTGTGAAGCATTTAATGTTCTGTTCGGGTGCATTTTGTTTGTGTTAATGACTCCACCTACCACTTTGGAGGCTGGGAGTATATAAGACTTTCTATGTGGATGTGTATACTGGTTATGATTAAGACCCAGGGTTTTGGCAGAGACTCGTAAGCTATTTTCATGCTGAACTAAAGTGATATTTGGAGACGGTCCCTGTCCACGTTCCGGTGTTTTAGCATCAAATAAGTGGCTACATGGTGAGCGCAAAGTGTCCCTACCTGAGATGAGCAGATCAGTCTGAGAATTTCCATTGTATCTGAATATGTGGGTATAGATTGGACTGAGAATCATGCAGCTTGTCAATCCAGGCAGCTGTGCTTTAGGAATTTTCCAGAAGATTTGAATATTTGCAGCTAATCTGAAGCCCCTGATTCTTGCTTTTCCATTGTAAGGTCACATCGAAAGCATTACAGCAGACAGAGGCTTTGTAAGCTCATTATTTGCTATCAGTCAGGCCCAATACAGGGGGATGTGTCTTGAGCAGCCTTGACATGGTCACATTATCACTACAATCGCTGTGATTTACTGCTCTTCCTACAGCAAGGCAAAACCAAATCATCCCGTGCAGGTACAGCTCACTGTTCTATGTCATCAAGGTAATCTCTACATTGCTATGGAAATGTTGTGTTGGCTAGAGTGTTCTTACTGGAAAATCGTCTTTTTTTTTTTTTAATCAGGGCCTTTCACAAGCACCTATGTTGTCTTACAATGATTATGTTCTTTTAGATGAGTGTCCTAGGAGGTGGGGTGAGAGGTGTTGGGTTACCTGTGTTCACATATAGCTCCTATTACCCTCCACAGCCACTTCCTTGTTTTTCATGTGAGCAGCTTCCACTCTTCCACTTTTTTTGGTTTTAGTTTCTCGGCATTACACAGTGCTTATTTTATAATGGTTGTGGAGTCCTGGAATGAATTGACACAGCTGCTGGACTTTGGTTTTCTCTGTATGGGTGTAGTTAATGGATTCAGTACAGAATAATACTACCTGCAAGTATTTTTAGTTTAAAAAGTAATGATGTTATCCAAATGGGAAAGGGACCTAGACCTGAAGTTTACCCAGCCGCAAAAAGAACGCATATACTCAATGGCCCACAAATCCTCAATTGCCTGTAAGACCCAAGAACTTGGCTATAAGATAGTTTCCCAGTGGTACAGGGTCCCGACACTTCTGCATTCCATGTTCCCTCAGGTCTCACCCTTGTGTTGGCGTTGCGGCCTGGCCCCGGGGACCCCTTTTCACATTTTTTGGACATGTCCGAAGATATCTCCCTTCTGGAGTCAGGTGCTCGAGACTATCGAAAAGCTAACCATGGTGCAGTTAAAAGACAACCCAGCTGCATGCTTGCTACACCTTTCGGATTGCTCTCTCAAACGATCCCTTACCTTACCATTGCTGAATGCGGCTCGGGCCTGCATCCCTATCCTCTGGAAACGTAAGAATCCACCCTCCCTTCGTATGTGGATGACGAAAGTAGATGAAATATACCGCATGGAAGACCTCTCCTCATCCCTTAACAACACGGAGGAGAAATTCAGGTCCACTTGGAACGCTTGGCTAGCTTTCCAGCACTCTGATACCTACACAAGGGAAATGCTGTCAACCCCCCGGAACGAATCTGAATGCGAATCCGCGAGGGTGCTCCCGAGCTCGTCTTCCCCTGTCGTCGGGTCGGAAGGGTAGCCCAGCCTCTGTCCACATATCCTTCCTCCATACCCCTGGGTACTGCTTAGCTCAAACCTATCTATGACCCTGAAGTCACCCTGCTAAATGTACGGCCTCTATACCCCCCCCCATCCTTTCCTCTCTTATGCTCCCCTCTATTCCTACCCTTCACTTTTCCCTCTAGGTCTCCATCTCTGTGAAACCGACTCTGTTCACCATAGTTAAGTTTGCTACTTACAAGTTTTGTTTAACTTACACCCTACTCTCCGGACACGATGATCTGCGACCAGATTGCTATTACCTAGGATGATGCACATAATCTTCCATTTAGAGGAATATCGACCTGATACACAGATGTAATAATTGGAGATA